TGTATTTAAGACTACTTCTCAAAACTTCATTCAATTTGCTCATTTCAAGTTATAAAACTTCACTAGGGCAAAGAATATTTCCGAATATTTGAAGAACCGCTGTAAGACATACACTTTTATGCTCAATGCCCAATATGAATGACTTTAAAGGCCACCCTAGCAACTGCTGAAGTAATTAATCAAGTAACAGCATTCCAGCCAGAAATGGAGTTCGTCATAAAATATAGAAGTCTAATTGGTTCTTTTGATCGTTGCTAGGGTGGCCTTTATGGTCACTCCGCAATAAACATGCAAGACCCTAATAGTTTCTTTTAGTCAAACTGTTTGGCATTGAAACAAACAATCTCCTGTTCATATGAATAACCTAAGCATTTTTTTGAAACTTGTCTTGAAAAATGGTATGAACTTGTCCTGATTTCAAGGAATTCTACACTGATTTATAGCGTTTTCTTTTACTCGTCTTGTCACAGTAAGACACCAAGATTTTTTCCTCAAAAACAATTTCTGAGCTTAAAAATTGTCTTGATAACTTTAGTTCACGTTCAGCATATTCGAAAAATATTGAAATCTCTCGGAGAACCTTTGTTATTCTCCAAGTGACATTTGTGATAAATAGGAGATAAATATGCTTAAAATGAATTCAGATAAAAAGACGTTGAACACATTCACTTTGAGGTAGTTGTTATCACAGATTAAAATGAGTTGACGAATCACTGAAACAATGACCCTAGTTTGTAACTCCGCAAATGTGACCACCTACAATGCCATGATCTATTGACATTCAGCTGCTAAGTCCACATTCTCCGATTTCTATCATTTCACTACCTAGCATTATGATCCTGTCAATTAGTCATCATAAACCACAAATAGAGTTTCAAATTTAATCAACTAAAATGTTTGTTGATTAGTCAAAATATCATTAAACTACTATAATTCTATTTGAAATCATGAGTTAATACACTATCTATCATCTTGAGGATTGACAGTGAAGTGTTAGTAATTTCGAAATCCACGATCTGGAATAAAACATTGTTGCGAGCGAAATAGAGTAAAGTCAGGAATGTACTAGAGATTTTAAATCACTTCAGTTATATTTGAACAGCTTCCGAATCCCACTAACCAGATAGATTTGATTAGATCCATATCAATAAATAACCGAAGCTTACATGAATTCATTCTTCATAGGCCTGCCAGTGATAAGAGGTGTACATCGCTTGTCTAAGATAAGTGTAAGACGAAAATAATGTACAGAATGAGACCCCAAAAGGCAAGGAGAAAAAAACACAAAGTAAAACTGCAGGTTTCAGAGTAAGGAGTTACAAAAGCAGATGAAAAGCTTGACTAATTAACATAAATTCAAAATATAATTTGACAATCCAATGATTTTCCTTCCACCCAAAAATTCATAAACTTCCCACATGTACACAGAAAATGTCACTGAGAAATGTGGGCAACAGTAAAATTCTAGAAGTCACCAAAAAACATGTTTGTTTTGCTTTTCCTTTTCCTAGTTATCCCTTTTTATACTTCTAACCACTCGCTAAACTTTCGCCCAGTTGACAGACAAACATGATAAATTTACCGAAAATCAGAAATTTGTCAGTAAAACAAGTTTTGCATTCATTTTTCACTTTTTAACTAGAGTAACTCATGTTTCTTTGCAACAAGCGGAAGAATGATTTGTTTCTGGCAATTCTCCGGTATTGAACAGTACTTTCATATATTTATCTGAAGTACTGAGTTAGATCATTAGAAATGTACACAGTTTGACCGTAAACGTGCCTAATTGGATTTCCAGCTTGATAGTGACTGCACTAGGAAAATCAATACAACGGTAGTCATTCGCTTAATTTGACATTGTCAACAACGGAAGTACCAACACTAGTTTCTCTAAATTACCACATGATATTATATATATATATATATATATGTATATATATATATCATATGAATGAAGTTCTCGTGACTGAGTTCCCTTTTAGTGATAACAGATGGGTTATCAGAAAGCCTAATGCATTTTTCATCACCCATGACGCTGATGTTAATTATTCTTAAAATTCACACTATCATAACATCGCAATTTATTGTAAAAATTTGTTAGTAATTACATTCATTAACATACTGTCGAAACATTTTATTTACCAGAGGAAATGGGCATTCAGAAGCTAAGCGGTTAGTAAAATCTTAAGACATTATGATTTTCGAAATGGCGAGGATACTGTCAGCGTCTAAATGCCTAGAGTAACTAATGAGTAGGCTACCAGTAGTCGCCAGTAACTTATGTAGTTTCCTGATAGTGACTGAAGTTCACAGACCTCCTAGCTTAATGGTCACACTGCAAACTTTGGTTCAGAGCTGAATAGCGTATACTAGATAGCCACGCAGGTTACGCCCTAGTGACCAATATGTTGTGGTCTGAATAGCTTTGCGCTTAGGTCAGTTACTTCATCCCTGAGTAATACAAGTTTAAATCCCTGAGTGAACATTTGTTTCTGCAGGGCTGCAGAGAAACTTTGAAAATTAGTCTCAAAAAGCAAGAAACTTCAGCCCTTGAACTCTTGCCTAATGACCCTTGACATCTAACACCAACGTATCACAGTTTCTCAAGATTTTATCTCAATGCTAAGAATCCTGAAGAGGACTTATTGCTGAAAACTTACACACTGAACGGGAACAATAACCGTATACTTTGTTATGTGTCTTACAAAAACAACGGCTTGCTTTAAGGTTTATTTCCTGAATCACATTTTGCGATAATACCTCATATTTTAGGCTTACCTTACTACGATACGAATGATTTTTTAAAAAAGGTGAGATTTCGATATATTGATGTGTAATAAGTAACCCTATTAGTTCAATAAAACAAAAAAGCTTTAAAAATTCCAGAGGTTAGGTCATTCACCTGCCACTAACCCCAAGCACTCCGAACAAGTATTTAAACGAAGAATCTTTGAACTGACGAAATATAACCATTTATTCAATAACAAGAAATATTTTTTTCAACGACTTCATTACCAAGCTGTACAGTCATATTTATACTCAGTAAAGTGACAGATAATTGCACTAAAAAGACTTGCTCAGTCAATATGCAAAATATACAATCGGTGTAGGTGGTGGTATTTGTTCAAGTGGAAGAGATCGAAAATGGGTCACTGAAAAAGGAGGAACAAGTTGATAACAAGTGGTGAGATGATAGACAAGTGTTGTCAAAGAATTGTAAAACGGTGATAATTAAGCTGAGACATGTAAAATAGGTCAATGAATAAGGAATTAATTAATATTAAATAGTGAGATATGTGTCAAATGTTGTCAATGAAGTGAAAATTGGTGATAATGATGATAATAAAAGAGAAGTATACCAAAGTGAACTGAAATTGACGAAATGAATTGTTGAAGCCAAGGTAGAGAAAGTGGTTTCACAGAACGTTTTTGAATGCAAAGTTTAGGTTTTTGTTCATGTATAGCTAATGCTTCAGCTATGCATAAGTGGTGGAAACGTAAACCTTTGAAGTAGTTCAATTTAACTTTGTAAATTTTTTAAAAAGATGAATCTCGAGGTGCTGAGTGTCCCGATTTAACAAGGTGCTTACATATGCATGAAGTCGTTTTCCTTTGCTCGCCTCTGGTGTTAGCCAAACCGGGTAGTGTTCAGCAACACGTTTTCTGAGGGCCCGCTTACAATATCCAATATAGTCAGCTCCACAGGAGCATGTGAACTTGTAGATAAACATAGATGTGGACATAAGTGGAAGCCTATCCTTCACGCACTGACGAATCAGACGGCGGCTGGGGAATATCAGTCTCAGTCTAGCAGCATAAAAGCTATTATTGATACATCTTGGCACACGATTTTTCAGCACTTCAGCTGTGGTGTCTCCTTTGAATTCTAGATTCATCGTTAAAATTTTCTTAGGGACTGTAATGGGATGGGGAGTGGTTCGTTTCTTCAGATTCTTATCAATAAATCTTTTAGGGTATCCGTTATTCGATGATATTATTCTAAGAGTTTCGCTTTCAGCATCCACCGTATCTTCTGAACATATTCTATAGATTCTGGAACAAAGTGAGTGAATGAGATTTCTTTTACAACTAAGAGGTGCCCAACTATTAAAGTTAGTGGACTGACCGGTCCAAGTTGGTTTTCGATAGATTGATCTTTGGATCGAACCATCATTCCTTCTCTTTAACGTTACATCTAGAAAGTGGAACGTTGAGTTTAACTCTTCCTCTACAGTGAATTTAATGGTCGTGTGACAATTGTTGAAACGTCTTAGCAGCCCATCTACTGAACATGCTTCGTCGCAAATAAGACAAATGCTGTCGACGTACCTTTTATACAAATAAAGTTCCGAAAATAAAGTTCCTTTAAAATAATTTACAAAGATTACGTTTCCGACACTTGTGCATAGCTGAAGCATTAGCTATACATGAACAAAAACCTAAACTTTGCATTCAAAAACGTTCTGTGAAACCACTTTCTCTACCTTGGCTTCAACAATTCATTTCGTCAATTTCAGTTCACTTTGGTATACTTCTCTTTTATTATCATCATTATCACCAATTTTCACTTCATTGACAACATTTGACACATATCTCACTATTTAATATTAATTAATTCCTTATTCATTGACCTATTTTACATGTCTCAGCTTAATTATCACCGTTTTACAATTCTTTGACAACACTTGTCTATCATCTCACCACTTGTTATCAACTTGTTCCTCCTTTTTCAGTGACCCATTTTCGATCTCTTCCACTTGAACAAATACCACCACCTACACCGATTGTATATTTTGCATATTGACTGAGCAAGTCTTTTTAGTGCAATTATCTGTCACTTTACTGAGTATAAATATGACTGTACAGCTTGGTAATGAAGTCGTTGAAAAAAATATTTCTTCGCTGATACATGGCTTGTTCTTTTTTAAAGTATCTTTGAGATAAAGGTGATAGATTGCGAAACTCAACATGAAAAGTAAAGATTTAAAAAGCCTTCTTACCAACATACTGACGTATACCGATAATTCCAATGAATACAAACAATAACAGTCCAGTAAATTGATAGTTCAATCGATCTGAAAAATCATCGTCATATCTTAACTTCGTGGATGTAAGACGACCAAATTTGGATAATTTCCAAACATAATCTGCATTCATTTCTTCAAGTTTTTACTCTGTTCTTTTGACCCTAGTTTTCAGGTGAAAATTGTCTCAATATATAACAATAAACAAGCGATTTTTATCGGGACTGATATTTAAGTATCAAATTTTGTCTCCTTCATTCATTATCAGTTGGGTTAATGGTTATAAAGTGTTTGAGTGTACATTATAAAGAACATTTTATCTCTTCCTCATTGTACTAGAAAGAACAGGACGAGTATATCAAACCGCCCGTACAAGTATATCTTATACAGAAGCTTGATCATTTCATTGAACAAAGAAGACAGCCTAGACTTGTAACTAACTTAAATAGGCTAGTAAGCCAAACTATCAACCAATCGTATTCACATCTAACTGAAAGTCAGCCAATCATATCATTTTAAAACCAAGTCATTAGCAAATAAAATCTATTTCATGAAATTCACGTTGAAGATATTAAATATTTTCAAGAACCAAGAATAGTGTTATGAGTAAGCATTATTTTGTAAAATTTAGAGTGACTAAGTACTAATAAATCTATTCTAATTATTAGAAGGGAATACCTTAGTAGTTAACGGTAGTATGTGCAGACTAAAATACAAAAGGCTGTAGTATTATGTGTATGAGTATAAAGTTTTAATTACTGACAGCTATGACAACTTTTCTACGCAGGCAGTTCGCTTTTAAGCAAGCGTTTTATTGCCAACAAACGCAATAGTTACCATGCATCTTGAGACAAGATTGAAATTAATGCTACCTTGACATGTGAAGAGAATAAGAAATACACATTTTTTGAAAATACCGCATTTCATTGTATTTTCTTCAACTAAAACAAGTAAATAATACTGGGTAATGACTGTAGGTTTAATGAATACATGATTAACAGCAGAAATTAAACCCAGTGGCCCCCCACTTTCCCGGTACCCAAAAAACCAGTTTTTTAGACCATATTTATCTCACATAATCTGCCTTTTAGTCAGTACGACACTTCCTCCTTCTAATTTAGCTGGGTTTAGACTGAGATAGGCAGAACTTGCTGGGTAGTTAGTGTGGTGAATCATGGATTCACTTGGCAGCTGGGTTAAACCTTTGGTACCTAGAGTTAAGCTAAGACATGAGTAAGTTATTTGTTTGAACGCCTAACCGGTAACCTGGAACCTACTCGTTCGAAACTTCCCATCATCCAAGTTTTCCCTTCACCTTCTATCATCACTCAGGATCAGTAACACTATTTGGTTAGACCGTGGCTACCTCTGTTAGTTTTTGTAGGGATAAGTAATCGTTAAAATCTCTTTTTCTACCCTTATCTCGGCTTAATGCATGTTTATGTTGACGATACTCTCAGTACCAAATGATATGAATATTTATAAATATTCTTTTTGGATCGTCCGTTTAACATATGACATATCAACACTGAACATTCTTATTGGAATATAACGCTTCATGCTTCTATGCTCATCTATAGTGCACTGTGGATTTAAAGTTCTAAAGTATGTAAGTTCGAATCTGTTTTGTTATCCAAACATTAATTGACTAAATGGCAATAAAATATGCTTTGTTCTGAAAACACCGGACTTCCAAAGCTGTTCAAATTAGTTAGTATGCGCAGCAGAAACTGTTTTAGGAAATCCTGGGAGTTTTTATCCATCAGTGAGTGCATTAAATCCTACGTTACCATTTGTCTCGAAACGGTCATTCTATTTGAGTTGTTTTATTAGATGTATCACACAGTGTAACGGTGTTGTTTACCGAATTACGTTTCGGACATAACTCATTGTCCGTAGTGACATCAAGACAACTACACAACTTTGAGAAATCCTTTGTATAGTACTAATTTTTTCGCCAACATTGTGATATGTGTGGTAAGAGCTTCCATATATCTGGAACGGGTGCTCATTCATTCACTCATGCATAGCTACAGTTGAAATTTTCCTGTATTCCCCATCTTACTAGGATTTACCAGTTTTGACCTAAATAGGATTTTGTGCTCAAATAGTCTAACTGACCCTAGTCGAATTATTTGACCTGTTTCAGATGTATGGAACATACTACTACCAATGTCACAGAGGTGGCGAGGAAATTATAGCTATGTAAATCATGTCCCAAAGTTATGGAGTTACCTTGATATGACTAAGGACAATAAATTATATCCGAAAAGTGATCCAGTAGATAATAGTGTTCCACTGTGTAATACACCTGATGGTTCAATTAAAATGGAACTTCAGTCTACCACAGTCCTCAAGTCTTACTCTTCAATCAATGAAAACGGTTATCTTGGTCAATTTTATCAAAATACTATCTTAGTAAATGAATTGGATTTCGTAAACGATTAACCTCTAATCGGTAATTCGATAACGTTTTTCAAAGCTTTAACCAAATGAACAATCGTCCTGTCCACTGCCTTCAACTTTTTTTAGTCGTCCCACACAAACAAGATTTGATGGAATAAACGCTTAAGCAGCTAGTTTTATTTTCAATAAATCCCTATGATATCTCTTTTATGCTTGTGTATGAGTAACGATAATACTTTCCAATTTATACAGCAGTTTACAAAACGACTTTCTAAACTTTAACGTTGACTGAGAATATCACCTAAATTACTATTTATACTTAGATAAGATTTATTTATATAAAATAAAAATGACACCCGATGAATTGGTGAAGCTAAAGAAATCCATTCGATAATAATTTGGTATCCTCTGAGCTTTGAGGTTTGTTCTTGGACGTTTCATCAGCATTCACTCCGATATGAAGCTCGGAGGATATTAAACATCTTGAGCTACAAATCTTCTTTGCCTTCTCAAATTATCCGACTTCGAGAAACGTTGATTTTACCCAAAGTATTGTTTAACTTCAGATTCTATCATATCCTTTTCAGAACTGAATTCAATATTCTTGCAAGCATCCGACTAATAAAAGTGGAGGGTGATTTTCTATTGACTCTTATTCAACTAGTGGAATATCGTGATCATATCCAATGTAAATCAAAAACACTTCAGTGGATATAAAACTGCCGAAATTTAGATAAATCTCAGGTAAATAACTTTGGATTAAGTAACTAAGAACACCTAAATCTTGTTTATTGTTTGTCAAAATAAGCATTGTAAAAATTATCATGAGACAGCCACTTTTACAAACTCTAAAACAACTCTGTACAAATGTGCGTAGCACGATTTTTAAATGCATGAAAACGACAAAACCAATAAACTTTTTAAAGTTGCTTTTTCTCACGGACTGACATCAGTTAGAAAGACGTTAAAATCTGGGAGCAGTAGGCACTTAATTCGTCCTGGTTTGCAACCATTAGGCAATCCCCACCCAAGACTGCTTAAAGGGTTATGTTTAGGAATTAGAAAAATATAACTAGATAATGGTCATTCGATTTCGTCAATTATCAAAAGCTGGTAAACGTGTATCACTGGACTCCAATCCACTAGCTAAATAGCAATATCTTCACCACCAGACTTGACTCTCCCAGGCCTAATCTTTCATAGTGTCAGAGATGCACATCACTAATAAATACTAAGGTTCTCAAATCTTGTAGAACAGTTAGTTGATGAGGAAAAACTACAATACAGGCAATCAATCTACTCAACGTACCAGCTGAAATATTTGGTTATGATGGAATCCACTTTATCTAGGTTTAGGATTTACAGAACTCAAATTCACTTTATATAATTAACACGATAATTGCATAAATTTTGACGAAAGTATATATAAAGGGTTCTGTCAAACCTGAACTCTAAAATGCTGAGATTTAAGAATCACTCTGTCGGTTTGTAAGCATCCAGACGGATCTCTACAATTAAATAAGACGCAACTAACTTTGTTATTTATCCAGTTTCAATCAGTCCCCTTAAGTATCACCAAATTTTTGTTCTTATTATCCTCCCAAAGGATACAAGTTACTGGAAATGTCAGTTAAATGAGAGGCAATGGTATCACTAAGATAAAGTAACCAGATTATCTGCAAAGACACAACATTGATATATCCCCGTATGTGCATGAAATAATCGGATGAGATTTTAGTTATATACATCGAAGAAGGAATTTCCTTCTACCCGAGAAAACGTAATCACACCTTAAGATGACTGTGAAATAAGTTTGGTATAATAGACAGTTGAAAACTGTACATTATCCCTTGAAAGTAGCATACAGTAACTTAAGCCTATTTTATTATTTGAAACGTTCCACTCCAATGTAATTATTTTCTGAATCACCCCAAACGATAACTGTATGCCAGACCGAATGCCTGATAGAATCCAGACATTTAAACAAACCCATTTGATTATAGGGAAAAACAGAAAGTAATTCAAAGCGAATAAAGATTTTTTTACTTTGGACGAAATCGTTCTTTTAGTTGTACATTCGTGGATAAACAGTAGAAAACTAGTAATTTATGGTGAAAGGTCAACATAATCTGCATGACAGAGAAAAGTTACATAGAGTCTGTGGGACCTCAAGTGAGGAAATAAACAAAATAGCTACAAAACAAATTTGTATCGTAAGTGATGTACTCCCTCCTATGTTCATCGCAAAGGAAGAGGATGTAATACTTTTGAATCCAAAGTAGAGTTCTGAATTTTCGCATTTCTAATGTTTCGGCTGTACCGAGACGATGTACTTGGCTATACAGGGGCAAGTAAACTGACATACACATACTGATATGACCCTCTGCTTTATATCATCCTATGACTAATGACGAGTGTGTTACTGACAGAAAAATATCACTCACAGAATGGCGGTGAAGAATGGTTTCTTTATGGATACGGATAGCCTCCTTTTGAGCATAACTCCTGCATAATCTCCCTAGGAATTGAGGTTCAAAAACGAAATCATTTAGAAGCAGTATATATGCGTTATTTTGTTTGAATAGACTGTCCGAATTCCGAATCCAACCATCATTTAGTATCTCCAAGATGATGCGACTTAATATCTTGCTTGGGGTGGACAACGGTGGAGCATGATTCTGTGCCAGTTCTTGCAAATACTTAGGTCGTCCTTCTTTGGGAGTTTGA